TGTCTAAGTGCAACTAAATCTTCATCATATGAATATTTGCCAGCATCATCCGAATCATATTTATCTTTTTCGTCAGTTGATCCAGTATTACAAAATAATTTAACTAATCGTGAGCCACATTATAATAGAGAATTAGTATCTCCAGTAACTCTTCAATCTAATGCATCATCGTCGTCATATGAATCCCAGACGTCATTACTGACTTTGCTATCAACTCCAGAAACTCACAATGTTGCTTATAATAATGCACGTGCTAATACTACTTATAATCAAGACTATTTTAATGCCATGTCTCATTCAAATATAAATTCTTCATATGGAACTTATGATATGTTTAATATGTTTAAAAAACAAATAACAGAATGCATGAATAACGTAGTGTCAGAAATAAGGTAATTAAAATTTCAAAAATATCGTTTGTGAGAAAATTTATGATATCAAATAGTAAACACACTTTGTTTAACTTTTTTTTGTTAATAGAATAATAACTCAAAATACAAATAAGAAAACCATTAATCAAAGGCCTGTAAAACCTAAAATTTTACCGTTTGATACAGTCGAAGCACCAATAGAGTTTAATCAATCAAGCGATGCAAAATATACGGAAATGGTAAGATTTGATTTAATATTATTGATTTTATATTTCTAAATCAATCAGTATTTCATTAAGTTAACTTGCAATAATTATTTTAATATTATTCATTTTAATTAATTATAATTAATAGGTGGAATATCTTGCATCTATTGAAGGGAGAAATATTCGAGACATCATACACTTAGCTTTCAAAGAAATTTTTACTACAAATGTAGCCTTATCGTTTACATGGACAGGAAAAGATAATAGCAATCGTTTGACAAAAACAAAATTATTGGATTTACGTATTATAGATGCCCTATATGATACAGTACATTTTTGCTGTATATTTATATAGCAAAATTATCTTTAAAAGTATCTTAAAATTCTCCACAATCAAATCTTTATTGAAATCTAAATCTTTTTTTATTAAAATATTGTTACAAATATAAATTACGCGTTTGTTTTATTGTTAAATTAAAAAGTAATTTCATTATTTGTATAATTTACGTTTTTATATACACAAATATACAAATATATAAATTTTATAAACAGCTCTACAATCTCAAAAGTATTTAAAATATATAGACATAAACATTTTATTTTAGTTTGCATGCAAAATTCGTGTTTAAGAGCATAAACATTTAACAATATTACATGGTTTTTAACTAGTATGTTATTCTTATTTCTTTATGCACAAAACATTTTACATTTATGTATAAATACATTTTTAAAGTTTTGTATATTTTATTTGTGTTACCTGTGGTTAACTTCTAATTAAAATGTAAATATATTGTTATTTTAGATGCTGTTTCTATACATCTCCAAATAACTATATCAGAATTTAAATATAATGTTTCGGAGGCATTGCGATCGGCAAAACAACGACATCGGCAACGTCAAACTAACAATTATCGATAATTGAGATGTGATCTATTCCTACATTACTCACTGTAGTTTCCATAATTGATGTTCCACATTGCTCGAGGGCAAGTAAGAAGAATCATATTAAGTCAAGAAGTCTTTTATTATCACTTTGCGACATTTGTAATAATTAACGAGGTATTATTTTAATAAAGATCTTCGAATAAGCATGCATTCACGTGCGAAAAACATCCCAATATTTCATGTTGTTACTCACGTAACAGAAGGAGGTAATAACACAGTATAATATACATATTATATAAAAATCATATTGATAGGTAATGGAGGTAGAAAATTCATAGATAGTATGATAGAAAATGGTTTGAATGTACTAAATGGTAGGATTAATGGAGATTGGGATGGAGAGTTCACCTATGTAGGAGCAAGGGGTAGTACAGTAATTGATTACGTGTTTGTAAATAAACTTATAGTTGATAAGGTTACAGAATTCAAGGTTGAGGAGAGAGTGGACTCAGATCATATGCCGGTGTGTATGAAGATGGAAGAAACGGAAGAGGAAGAAGAAAGAGGCGGCAGAAGAAAAATGAAGCCGAAAAAGCAAGAGGAGAAGGTAATTGAAAAAAAGAGGATAGTTCTGTTACAAAAACCATTAAATATGGTATCTCAAGTATCTTTTGATTATATGCATGTAATATGTCTACGTGTAATGAAAAGAAAAAGCGTCGATAACTGGATTTTACAAACTCAGTTAAATATTCTTATCAACATATTCATTTAATATCATTAGGATTAAAAAAGATACAAAAATATTGTCTTGCCACTTTTTTTACTTTTCCATTTAAAAATATAAGTGTAATAATAAACTTTTACTCTACTTTTTACAAATAATTGTTGTATTCTGAAGTGTTTATCACTTCGTTTAATTCAAAATATTCTTGTTTCTGATAAACAATATTATTTTATTGTAAGAAAATTTAAATATGTCAAACATTTTTATATTGGTATTTTATCTTCTATAGTAAAAGTTTTTTTCTTTTTCGGTAAAGTACTCGACAACGAAATTATTCCTTTCACAAATGTATTAACAAACTGTTACATAATGCCGTATTTTGGAAGTGACAATATTTATGACAGTAATGCAAAGTATATGACAATAATGCAAGTATATGATAATTACAAGAAATATGTAATAGATTTTCCGATAAGTGAATATTGTTTTACGCATAACATAATTTTGATTTACGATTACAAATTATGTTATGCGTAAGACAATATTCACTTATCGGAAAATCTATTATATATTTCTTGTAATTATCATATACTTGCATTACTGTCATCAATATTGTCACTTCCAAAATACGGCATTATGTAACAGTTTGTTAATACATTTGTGAAAGGAATAATTTCGTTGTCGAGTATTTCCGAAACACAAAAAAAGACTTTTACTATAGAAGATAAAATACTAATATAAAAATCTCTGACATACTTAAGTTATATATATATATATATATATAGCAATAATTATAAAATATATAGTGATTTGTTTCAATACATTTATATTGGATAGAATAAGTGTTTTATGTTTGTATCAATATCAGTGTTTTTTATATGATAACTTTATGATAATTTTGTGTCGATATTAATATCAGATTTAATAAAACATTTTCTTAGTCTAAGACTTTTGACATTCTTTTATTTTATACTTATTTTATATATATATATATATATATATATAGATATATAGATATAATATAAAATTTTTGTCTTAAGTTTAAAATTTTTTAATAAATTAAATATTTTTTATTAAAAGATAAAAATAATTAATGAGTATCAATTATCGTTTATTTAAACAAAAGTGAACAATAGTAAAATTTATATAAGAATTTGAAAGTGTTTAGTGTTTTTACGATGTGTAGCAAAATTTTTCGTGCATGGTTTCCGAGGTGAGATTGCGTTTTTGTCATTTTTATACAGACGTTTTATAGACATTTCAGTTTACTTTATTAGTATATTGTTACTTTGATGAAGTCAACTGAAATATCATAAAACGTCAGTATAAAAATGATAAAAACGCAGTCTCAACTCGGAAACCATGAGAAATTTAAAAATATATTTGCTTTAATCTTATCTGCATATTGTGTTTAATTTGCGTGTAAATGGCTCGCAATTCGCATGTACTTTTTGCAAGTACATGCACGCAATCACTACTGTGTTTTTCAAGCATTTCACATGTTTAGAAGAAACATATTGCGCGCAAAACTGACTGGCAATGTGCTATTCTTATGACAACACATAAAGGTGTACAACATGAGTTGTTCCCGTGCGTGATTTATTGGACATTCACATACAAAATACCGTCTAGGTTTGCTGGTTATTTGCTGTCCATATGACGACGCACTGAGATAAGCTTTTGTTTGCAAAACATAAGCAAATATAAGCCGTTCTTGTGCGTCGTTTGTTAGATATTTACGCGCAAAATGTTTTCTAGGTACTGTTTAAAACAGAAAAAAGAACAATGTAACGCCACCCCACATATATAATTCCTTCAAATATTCAAATGAGTTATCGTTTTATAAAAGCAAAATTACCTTACGTAAAATTGCCCTACGTAGCACGATTACCTTACGTAAAAACATTGTAAAGTTCTTTCGAAATATCATCAAAATCGAAATAAAAGACAACTTTAACAAACTTAGATTAGTACAAAAAACATTACAACAATAGTCAAGGATCTTTATGGATGATTACCTGTCAACAGTCTATTAACATTCTTTTATATACAAAACATAGTTTTAAACAAATATTACAAATTGCAATTTGAAAGGACAACTAAAAAAATCACCAATCTTTATCGGAAAATAATCTTGAAATTTAATTAAGGACATAGAACCCATCATTTACAATGTTACAAATGATAAAACAACATTGACAACGGATTGTAAATAACATTAAAACAGATATTTATAAATACACCTTTGGCAAAAAAACTCTCACTCACAACTTGAATTATTTAAAAACATTATGATTAAACCCAAAATAAATTTCAATTATAAAAAACCAAGTTTATTTGAAAAAAGAAACAATTGGTTTATCAATTTAAGTTCAAATATCATTCCAGATAATATTAATAATCTTTTACAATTACCTTTAGTCTTCCAATAAACAATATTCAAAGAATAATCACCGAATTCATTTAAGACATGGAAAATAATTTTAACAAAAGCGACAACCACACAGCAGAACATACGTTCTCACTACATTTCTATCCTTTCAAAATTTTTAACATCTACCTTTAAATTCAATGACATTGACAGAGATCCAAATACTTTATAGATCCAAAACACTATTTGAATTTCGAAAGAACCATTTGGACATACTGTTTATGTAAAGGACCTTTATGTAAGGGCACTGTGACCAAGTTATAAAAGTGCCACGATTTCAATTGGCAAAATATACAAATTTTAAATACAGAGATCAAGTTATAAAAATTTAAATTATAAAGCAAAAATATGTTTTGTACTAGTACTTACAATATTGACCTTTAAAATGCCTTTGAGATGGCCCAAACCGGATCTGCCGGTGCTGTTAACTTTTCTACGGTAAAACACAATCCGTCACCATCTGAACGATATTCACTTTTAAAATGCTTTAAGTTGCCTTAAACCGGCTGTCCCGGTGGTGCAAACTTTTTCTCGGTGAACACAATCCTTCACCATCTGAAACAAAAAAAGCCAAGGCAAATTAATACAGATAAGTGTGACAAAGAAATCGTTAGATTGTTACGTAAGTTCGAGTTATAAAAGTTTGAAATATAAAACAAAATTGTGTTTTGTACTAATAAATTACGATATTCACCTTTAAAATGCTTTAAGTTGGCTTAAACCGGCTGTTACGGTGGTGCAAACTTTTTCTCGGTGAACACAATCCGTCACCATCTGAAACAAAAAAAAAAGCCAAGACAAATTAATACAGATAAGTGTGTGAAGGACATCATTAGATTGTTACGTAAGTTCGAGTTATAAAAGTTTAANTTGTAAAACAAAACTGTGTTTTGTACTAGTAATTATGATATTCACCTTTAAAGTGCTTTAANATGGCTTAAACCGGCTGTTCCGGTGGTGCAAACTTTTTCTCGGTGAACACAATCCGTCACCATCTGAAACAAAAAAAGCCAAGACAAATTAATACAGATAAGTGTGACGAAGAAATCGTTAGATTGTTACGTAAGTTCGAGTTATAAAAGTTTGAAATATAAAACAAAATTGTGTTTTGTACTAATGAATTACGATATTCACCTTTAAAATGCTTTAAATTGGCTTAAACCGGCTGTTCCGGTGGTGCCAACTTTTTCTCGGTGAAAACAATCCGTCACCATCTGAAACAAAAAAAAAAGCCAAGACAAATTAATACAGATAAGTGTGTGAAGGAAATCATTAGATTGTTACATAAGTTCGAGTTATAAAAGTTTGAAATATAAAACAAAATTGTGTTTTGTACTAGTAAATACAACACTGACCTTTAGACTGCTTTGAAATGACCCGAACCGGCTCCTCCGGTGCTGCAAACTCCTTTTCTGTGAGAAATTTGTCATCATCTAAAACGAGAAAAATGGCAAAAAACAATTTAATAAAGATAATTGTGAGAGAAAGAAATAATTAAATTTTTTGCAAGATCATGTTATAAGTTTAAATTGTAAAACAAAACTGTGTGTTGTAAAAAAATTAATATTTTGTTTTAATAGCTATAAAAATAAGAAATACTAGTAAAATGTGCAATAAAATATTTTTATCTAATAGAATAGTATTTATTTCAATACGTAAAACGTTCGTTGCGGTGTGGAAATTATTGTTAGTTTATTCGAAAAACGAACCTCGTAACTTTGAGGTGCGATATCCCAGAAAGGAGAATGATGATAGATCCTGCGCATCGCGTCGCTAGTCTTTCTTTTCCTTACTCCTTTACTTCAGTTTACTTCTTTCACTCTTGTTCAGTACTTGAAAAAAAAAAGAAAGATATATAAGTTTTATAAATAATTGTATTATTTCACATTAATAGATAGTAATTTGAGGGGATTTATCTATTCTATCGCACTCCTGCTCCTGTAAATCACTCAATTCGCTCGGCGAACGACCGCGTCACGATTGACTGTAATGCTCGTCAATTATCGCTTGCGATACAATTTCTGTATTAATGCGTACACCCGTCACTTTGCGACATACACTGATATTCGCGAAATACTGATGTTCGCGCGTGAGATGATAATAAACGCGAAAATAACGAAACAATTCAAACGTACCTACTTGCGCCAGCCATTTTGAGCGAAACACTCACTATCGTCACTATCACCAATTCGTCATTATCGTTTTTCAGCGCGTATGCGATATTAATTACTAATTGCTTCGAAGGCCCGACACTTTGTGGCACATGCATATCACAGATATTTACGTACAAAACGAAAAAATAGCGAAAATTACCTNATTTGAATGGGAAAAGATCCGCTCCGAGAGCGCAACCGTTACAGAGGAAGACCGTTGCAGATTACTTTTGGTACTTGCAACGTTTGTTGCTAAGCGCTTGCTGCGCACCTCAATACGTTTGAATTCGGGCAATCATGAATAAGTTCCACTTGGCGCAACGATCGCGAGCGTAGATCGCGTCCACAGTGTCCAATCGTATTGGTTATGTTTGGGATATATTGACCAATGCAACAGAATATTGTGAACCCGACCTACGCTCGCGATCGTTGCGCCAAGTGGAAGTTATTCATGATTGTTTGAATTCGAACGTATTGAAGTGCGCAGCAAAGTGCCAACACATATATATATATTTATACTTCATCTAATATATTTACATAACGATAATATGATCTTTTTTTTTATGTAACAAAATATATGCTAAGAAATATATTAATTGAAAGAGTAATGAACAAAATTTTGCACCTCTTGTTACACGATATTTTTTTGTTATGGTTACATGTATAAATCTACACTTAAGTGTTCATAANAAAAATTACTTAAATAGTGCACATAATAATTGCGTAGCAACCATTTAACTAGCATAAGAGACATCCTGATTGCTTTTAAGATGACATCTTGTGTCTGTGTATGTACATAATTAACTTAGTCTATAAACTACTAAAATCTTTAATTAATTCTTTATGCATACTGCAAATAACATAAAAAAATAATATAAAATATATAAGAACATGTAATATGCAGAAAATTATAAATAATACACACATAAGAATTTTATGTAATTTTTTGGGAAACATCTCCGTATTGATAATAAAACAAAAGTCACTTAAAACAGTTTCTTACTTAATATTGAATTTTCATTGGAAACATTCAACGATAAAAGTTAATGCTTAATATATTAATATTTTCAAGCTTTCATGTGTTTCACCTTTTTCAGAATTTTCTGACACAAAATACACATCTCTTCACATGATAATAAAAAATAATAAATTGATCATAGATTTTTATACATGTACTTCTTTCTAAACTCTATAAATGTGCAAATTATTACTAGAACATTGTTAATTATTATATTAAATTGTTTAAAGAAATAAACATATACATGTAATCATAACAAAAAAATATCGTGTAACAAGAGGTGCAAAATTTTGTTCATTACTCTTTCAATTAATATATTTCTTAGCATATATTTTATTACATAAAACATGTNAATAGATTTTATTATATCTTTGTGTTAATTTTTATATATTAATATACCACAGAAAAAAAAAACAATTTTCTTTTTATAAGAATTATAGTTACGTTCTTTGAAATTTTATATTATCGATAATAAAACGATTAACTGTGATGCTTTAGAACATACGAAAAACACTGTAATAAAATTATATCATATCTATTTGTAGGCTATATAACAACTAATGTTTTAAGAACTTTTTTTGCACTTTCCCGTAATATAACAATAAATGATAATTTAAATATATTTTATTATTACAAAAAACCAAATAAAAATTGAATAATAAAAATGAATCTAAAATATTTGTAAATATATTTGTGTTATGATAAAGTACAAAAAAGTGAACACGTACATATATCACTTCTCATTTCATGCGATCAAGTTTTTGTAACAGTTTGATACCGTCTTGTACCCGAATCAGAGTGATATCAGGTAATCCTTACTGATTGTTCATTAGAAAGGTAACTACTTAAAGTAATATAATTTGGAAACAAGTACACACATAATACTTACTTGATTGTTCACAATCAATCGGCTTTGTTATTATCCACAGGCTAATTTATTGTCGAAACTACTCAAAACAATAGCAAATGCTTGGATTGTACAAAGAGGAAATCTGTAATCCATTGTAAAAACATCCTCAAAGACTCGACAAAACTGCATTACAATATAGTCCACTGAAATTAGATTACATTTCATCAGTATAAGTTAAATTTAATAAATTTGTAAATATATAAATCGATAGAGGCTGAATAATATTTCTCAGTTATATATAAATATAGCATATAAAATAGAAATATTTAAACATTCCTATCATTGTCTTACCATCATGAACTTGAAAATTTTTTACATATGCCTAAATTACTCGTCTATGAAAGTTTAGCATATATGATTGTGTCATCATTCCATACAGGCGTTTTATTGTGTAATTCTATTAAATTATTCATATGTTTCAATTTCCAGCATCCTGAAAAAGCATAAAAGAGGAAATTTCATATTTAATTTCATATTTAATTGCCATTCCATATTTTATATATGTTTAACATAAACAACGTGGTAATATTATGTTGCATAATATTTTAACATGTTAACAAACTTTTAAATTTCTATTCTTTTCATTTTAGATCTGATCGATATTGCTTTAATAGTAAAATTTATACTCAAGTTTATATTTATTGTTACGCTTACTAAGCAATGTCTCTGATTTATCTCGCGAACAAATTTCCACCTTCTTTTGATCGGAAGTCATTCCCGGTTTAACGACCGTCATTTTATAGTCCTTTAAAATCTAAAACATTAGTGTCATACACTAGTGCGGCTAATAGTTGTTGCGGATTCGAACGTTCGTCACGTTTATTCATCAATAAATATCCATTGTCGTAAATCGTGAACTACAATCGCAGAAAATTTGTTTTCAGCTTACCGATTTAAGATTCTCTTCCTCTTAAAAGATCCACAGTATCACTTGAAATCAGATCATTGCACTTGTTGCACTTTTCTTCTTTCAGCCAGCTAATAGAAAAATCTACATAAATATAAACAAATAAAAACTTGATTATCAAAATAAATAAATGTAAACGTACCTTCTGCCCGGAATCACACTCCAATTATAAGAAATAAGTCGAGTAAAAGCCATTGTTCACACTTTTTCAATTGCAAGTCATTCTACATTTATAATGCATTTTCTTGTTTACAAATAGTACACACTGTTTGATATGTCCTACACTGCCTTCTAATTCTGGAATCTGTAAAATATGTAAACATATTTATTACACTTAATTCAATATGTATACATCTATATGTACATGTAACTTTTTGTTTCTCTACTATATAAAAACTATAATATACAAAACATTTACAAAAAGAGTATGAATTTTCAATATGTGAATTGAATTCATAGTCAAGACGTAATACGAATTCGTAATATTACTGACAAAAAAAATGGCTGCGCCATAATTGGTTGTAATGCTTCACTATCACTTGCGATTAGGGTTGCCATGAAATGTCCGGGAAAAAAAGAGGACGGATAGCTATCCAACCTCAGAGTAACGCGAGAGAAATAAAGTAAAATATTTACCAACAAGATTCCCTAACACACCGGACGAGCATAAATCACTGCGGACGTCTTTGGAAAATCCACCCGTCTTCGGCATTCCAAGAAAAAGACGGTGTTCAGAGAAAAGAGGACGGACGGCAAGCTCTACTTGCGATACAACTTATCAATGCGTACACCCGTCACTTTGCGACATGTATTAATTTTCGCGAACTACCGATATTCGCGCGCTAGATAGCAACAAACGCGAAGAAATAACGAAACAATTAGAAAAGAAACGTACTTGCGCTGGCCATTCTTGGAAATGCTCTACCGTGTTCTTGGAAGTGCTCTACCGGGTTCTTGGAAATGCTACTGCCGCGAAACACTTTGACAGCCTTGCATCGTTTTCGACGCGTGTGCGATACTAAATACTTGTTGTTTCGAACGTCCGACACTTTGTGGTACATGCATATCACGAATAGTTACGTGAAAAATGACAAAAATAGTGAAAACTACCTGATTTGAATGAAGAAGCTCCGCTTCGAGTTGCGCGTCGGTTACAGAGAAAGTTTCGGTGTTTCTTGTCACTTGTACCAATTGCAAGCGTAGGTCGCGTCCACATTGTCCAATCGCATTGGTTATGTTTGGTAAAGTGACCAATGCAACAGAATATTGTAAACTCGACCTACGCTCGCGATTGTTGCGCCAAGTGGAACTTACTCGTGATTGCTTGAGTTTGAACATATTGAAATGCGCGGTAAAGCACAACATGCGATTCTCTTTTGTTCTATATGCACAAGTCCAACCCCCTGTTCCGTTACTGGCAGTACTGAGAATTTAAGCCCTTTGCACAATGGAAGGAATAGCGATAGCGAATAGAAATAACACAGTTTTAGACACAGAATTCCAACTCGTTGGAAATTTTATCGCTGTTGCTTATTCTGATTTTCTGATCTGCATTGATACATGTGTATTTTTGTATGTTAGATTCCGCTGTTCCTACCGTTATTTATAAATATAAACTCTTTAAGCCCCTTGCACAATGGAAGGAATAGCGATAGCAATAGAAATAACACAATTTTTAACACAGAATTCCAACTCGTCGGAAATTTTATCGCTATTGCTTATTCCGATTTTCTGATCTGCATTGATACATGTGTAGTTTTGTATGTTAGATTCCG